AGGTTGAAAATAAAATTAGCCATAGGGAGATTCGATTTGAACAACTTCAGCGTTTCAGACTAATGCGCAACCAATCTACTCCAACTGGCACATTTAATTTTCAAAAGATGGTCACTTTCAGTGTTTCGCTGATACAAACATCATCATTCAGTTTTATCAATGTTAGGTGTTAAATAAAGTTTATCACGTTCAGTGCAACTCTATATTGAGTTTGCTTGGACAATTGAGTATTTGACTACTTCATATAATCAAAGATTCGACTGTATTTTAAGTGCAACCTGAATAGCAAAACCCGTAATAGCAAAAGATTGTTTAGTGTTAGATAAATGGAAAGTAAGCCTGCGACAAATAGAAGTAAGCCTACGACTGCATGTGTGCTATTGGAACGCCCGAACTGAGGGTTATTAGGCGCTTGTGGTAACATCTCAGTTACGCGACTTCTTCTAGAACCAAAATAGTAGCCCTATTTAAAAAATGGTTAGCTTCGAAAGATTTAAATGATTGCTTTTTTCATTGGTTTTAAAACTTTCTCATCTCACCTCAGATTAAACTATGGAACGAAAAATTTCATCAATAAAACTATTTTTAGACTGCAATATGCTCACAAAATCAGACACAAACAAACACATCATCCCTATTTTTTTTTAAATTAAGACAATGAATCAAATTGAACTATTGAATTTTAAATGGTAGCATTTTCTTGCGAAGAAAATGCTACCAGCAAGGAGGTTGTACACATAAAGGCAACAGAAACATCAAAGATATGCCACCACAAGCTAAAAGGGAAGGGATGAACGCTTTTGTGTTTGCTACACTTACTAACAGCTGTTTTCAACTCCATGTCCACACAATGTGAACATGAAATTACGACTGATGGAATTAATTAAATTCCGTACATCGACAACAAATACGTTGAAATTTTGATTCCTCAACTGAACAGCATTTTGTTTCCTCAACTGAACTCTTTTTGCTCAGCAGGCCTTTCTGTCTTCCTCACTTCGAAAATTCCAAATGAAAAAAACCAATTGCCCAGGGCTGATTCATATATGGTTGTTCTTCAACTTCCAGTATTATTTACATTTCTCAATTCCTCAGACAGTGATGTATAGCAGTGGCGAATCACTTAAGTCATCCATGTCTGATCTTTCATTGACAGTAGCCTAGCCTGTAAACGAATCCAACAGCCGTCTTGGGCACATGAAACTGTTGCCTCATGAAAGATGCCAGTGGTACCTCAACAGGGGTTCCTCAAATACTATCAAATTCTTTTCTCGTGCAGATTTCAGCATTTTCGAGGTCATAAAAATTTAAATACAGAGGCGACGCTGAGCTTTGTACCACTTGCGATTGAAAACAAACATAATAAACATAGCTTCGCACCATTTGCGATTGAAAATCAAACATAACAAACATCGTAAAAAAATGAAAACAACTTTCGTATTAAAATTTCGTACGTCTGGATAAAAGTTCATTCTAGGATAACATGCCTGAAACTTGAGTAGAAAAGGAAACGAGACAATCTTTGAGCAGACACAAATTCAGCAGAAAAATAATGATTTCATAAAAACCTTAGTTTCAAGTCCCACCTGAGACTAAAATGAACAACACTTGCACTTTCATCTACATGATGTGGAAACAAGAGAAAAATCAGTGATGTGTCAACTAGGCAGACAATCTTTGAGAAGAAGCGTATTGAGCCGAAACCAAATTGATTAAACAACAAATTTAATAAATTTCAAGTCCACCACATTGAACCTACAAAGAACAAAACTTGAAAACGGATCAACGCCCGAAAACTGATCAAAATTAGCTACACGTAAGTTGAAAAATCAAAATTTTTTTCAATAGCGAACAGAAAAAGATAGTTCACTAGTATTATATTTTGTAGAAACTACCCAAAATTGAAGAAACTCAACGAATGCATTAGCAAACTTAGCAGACAGCAACTTAATTTGATATTGCAAAACGATGAGCTCGTCTAGCAAATTTGATTAAACTTAAAAAAAATGAATTTATTCCTTTCTGATTTGTTGGCAAAAATGGCTTGTTTGGTTCACGGTTTTCCATTGAAAAATCTACTTTTTTGAACAAAAACAAAAAAACTATTTCGATCGGTATTTTCAATGGTTGTAGAAAAAAATGCACAAACTCATATGTCCAATTACTTATATCGCAAAAAGTATAAAAAACAGCTGATTTAACAAGATTTTAAGCCTCAATTGTTGTTCACTAAAAAAATAACAAAAAAATAAGAAAAATAAAAATTCAAATTTTTTTTATTTAAAAAAACTATTTATTCTGAATATAACTGAATTTGTTATTACAAAAATGGTCAGAGAAAACCATTTAGATTTTTTCAAAACAATATATCCTTAAAAAATCATATGACTTCAACTATGTTTACAAAAAAAAATAAGAATAATCGAAAAAAAAATCGTTTGGAAAAAAAGCCGACGCAATTAAAGCCGACACAAGCGCGAGAAAGATACCACAAAGTTTAAGCACAAAAAAAACTATTAAAGGAACTCCTAACAAGCAGACAAGGGCGATGGCTAACATGAACCCACCCACTACATTCAACTCTCCAGAACAACGCGTGTAATACTTTCACGTGCGAAATCTGTGCCTGACGTTATCAATGAAAAAACAGTCCAGTACCGATTGCAAAACCCTGCAAAAGTAAATGAGAACTGATTGCAATCATCTGAGCCATCCGAAGGCAGTCCAACCAAGATAGATTCAAGTAAGCAATTTCAAATAAATCTTTGAAAAGGGGCTACAATCAATTGCAGGTGCAGCTATCATTACTTATGGCTTTTGTTGCCCGCGAGATGAAAGACTTGGGTCAACGAAAACGACTTAGAACGCCCGTCAGCGCCGACAATTTTTCTATCCATAATTGTTTTTCAATGATTTTCCTATACTGTTGATTTGCAACTTCTGATTTGCCAGTTTGAGGTTTGATTGATTGGACTAAGTGAAAACAAGAGTGACAGAAAAAATAACGGAAACACATAAAATAAACAAAAAAATGTACCAGTGTATCTGGAAGAGAAAAAGATAAGAACGGAAAACAAGATAGCGGAAGAAAGAAAAATTTAATCGATGAAAAACTGAGTATCAAAATTGTTAACTCAAGAATCTCATTATGTATGACAAAAATGGCCTCATATCTTTTTCAAAAAAGAAGTGACTTTTCAGCTTACCTTAGTTTTAAAAAGATGTTTATATCTTACTATTGTTAGGCAAAAAAATTCTAACTCGAGCCTACTGGGATATGGAGGTTCTTCAACTCGTATGTACATACTTTTGTGTTACCCACGACACGAAATCCTCGGTTAACGGTTTCAATTTCTCATGCTCCATAAAATTATCAGATATTTGTTCATCGGCGAATCATTGACGATAGCTGACTGATTCATTCTTTTCGAACTTAGCTTTACTGTTTTTGTTTGCTTGTCGAAGCAACAGTACGTACGTCTTCGAGCAAATATAGCACTACTATCTCTGTGCAGCGGTAATTCTCCTTAAATAACCCAGGAGTTCTTTGATCGAACTTATCGTGATCAATGCACAACTCGTGCTGATTTTTGCACTGAAACGAAAATTATTTTTCGTATCAGCGCAAAAGTTTTATAGTCAATTGTCTGACCGCATCGAACTCCAGGATTGCTTGATTTCAGATTTCAAGTTTCAAGCTTCAAACGAACATCTGTGATGCTTTTTCATCATTGAATTTTCGTTCGCAAAGTCCATCATAAATTATCCTCTTTTCGGACGTCAGTTTTTGAAAAATAAGTGAGAAACTTTTGAGTAAATATGAGGGGGTTCTTCTATTTCACAGTCTACTACCCCAAAAAGGGAATCTTTCCGAACTTTACTCAGATCTGTTTTTTGGTCTTAAAAATCTCAGAACAGAAATTATCCTTTAAAGTTTTTCAAATTATGCTCATAACTAAAAACATTGATATCTCACGAATGTAGACAGAAATTATTATTAAGAGCATTTTTTTTATTGGCAAGCAATTTATGAGGGAGAAAAAAAACTTTTTATACAAAATATTCGAAACAGCAGCTGTGAGTCCTACCCGGTTCGGGAGACAGGTAAAAAAAACCTGCAACGCCAACAGAGATAATTGCCATTGAGAACAGAGTTATGCAAAAGCATTCAGGTGGGCTTCTTCTACTGTTCTACTATCAAGACTAACGACCGGATGTCATGGATACTTTGTGGGACAAAATTCAAACGGCATTGGACCATAGATACGGGATAATTTTTTAAAATCAATTTGGGTAACCTTTTTGGTTTTGGTGTACTAGCAGTTAAACTCAATTTTTTTTAGAGAGAGCACGTCCTGAACTTCAATTTCAATGAAAGCTCTATTGACTCGAAACTTCAAATTGAATGACGACTGATACCACTTTTATAATAATCCTTTTGAAACGTTACTTCATTGAACCTTGAATATAATAGTTAATTGGAACACTCTTTATGATAAAGAGTTGGAACACTCTTTTCGGAACAATCGCTCGAATAAAAAACTTTAATTAGAACAAGGAGTTGACACTAGCTTATTGAATTCTTCTTCAAAAAACTAGATCAATGTTTATTGTCTTATTCCTCTGTGAAATCTAAAAACTGTTCAACGTTCGAAAAGTTATTCACTTTGTTCTTCTGCCACCGTCAAGTGCATTTTTTCAAAATTGGAGAGAACTATTTGTACTCTTCTCGCAAACTAGTTTCAAAATAACTTGAAACTAACCGACTTTGTGAATATTGCATCAAAAAGTAAATTTCTGACACCGCCAGGAAATCTAAAAACTGAAATCCAGTTTCGAAACTAAAAGTCGATGACGTTTTGTGTGAACTCTATACTTTTGCTGTTCTGAAGTGGAGTTTGAATTTCTCTTCCTGAATAAAAACAAAAACCATCACAACCTATTATAGTGTCTTCACTGCGTTCTTGACGCTTGAAGAACAAAATTTAAACCGCGAAAAATCAAATTGAAACCTGAAAAAATTTTAAGACGACAAAATCAACATGCACTATATAAGTTTCTTCGTGATAAGTTAAAAACTAACAGCATAAATTTGAAGATACAACAGATTTCCGGAAAAAAATTGTAGGTTTTTTGATATGGATGCACCTAATGAAGATTCAAAAACAACAATATTGACTTCAACAAATTGAGAACTCACATCAATAGGCAAGACTTAATTCAGCAAAAGTTTTCAGTGCTTGTTCTTATATCACAATTGAGCATTTACATTAATAAACTCTTTTCCTACACTTGGGCCTTCATAACCCAATTAGGTCATCGTGACCAACTCCTCAGAGGCAGTGGGATGGAGAGCGACTGTGTCGTCAAACTGTGCCTTAGTGGCACCCATCTTCACAGCCACTGAGAATCCCTGCAGCATCTCGTCACAATTCAGACCAATCATGTGCAGCCCAATGACCTAAAAGAAACGTAAGTTTGAAAGTATGACAACTTTTTGAATAGTACAATGGATGTACAAAATTTAAAGGTTCAACCTCTTGACTCTTTGAAAACCAAGCGACACAAAATGGGCTCGTACGACCATCTAGTAAAGATTTAGCTGTTGTTTTTAATCTCTTCTCAAAATCTACCACCCAACGATAATCGTCCACGAGACATGTAACGAGGGACTTACACGCGATGTTGTTGAATGTTCAGTTAACAAAAACAAACAACCACGGTTGAGTGACGAGGAACTAAGAATGAACCAAATATGCTTAATTCTCACATATATAGCTTTGAACAAATTTATCGCACGTCTTAAATTTTTGAAATAATTCTGACCTACAAGCCGAAACTTATTAGAAATATTTCTTTGAAGTTTCGCGTTTGCCTTTTTGTCGGCGTTTATGAGTTGTTTTCTATTAAAAAACTACATGTCAGGTCGCTGCTGAATGAAATTTGTTTTGAAGTTGGGTTCTTGAAGTTAGGCAAAAACCGACCTCTGAAAAGCGCTATCATTTCGGTTTTGCTCTTCTGACAGTTCAAATGAAATTTCGGTTGTACTTTCAATTCTATTTCACTCACTGTCTCAAGTTCAGAGTTGCTTCAGAAATTTAAGACGTTGTACGTGAATTTGTTAAAAGCTATAGACCTAATACATATGGAAACTGTATTCGAACACAAAAAAAGATCATCCGTTGAGTTTTCAAAGTATTGATTAAATTGTTACTTGCCTTTTCATTCTGTGTCTTCAAACAGATGAGTTTCATAGTGGTCTTCTGTTTCCTCTCACTCATCGCGAAGTACATGTTGGTGAAGGTGGTCTTGTATATCTTGAGATTGTCCCTCCCAAACAGATCCACTGCCTCCTGTTCCGTGTAGCCCACTGTGCCAATAGGAGGGTGGCTGAACACCACTGTTGGAATGTTGTGGTATTCTAAATCAAATCAAATCAAATCAAATCAAATCACCAATTCAATTCATTAATCTGAATAATAGGATGATTTATCTGTTGCATCGCTGGTTAGGACCTTTTTTTGAATGCCTGCGTTACTTAATTTAGAGGATTGGCGGTGAAGTTGTTAAGACTCCCCCTCGCAACTGAAACTTCAGTGGTTCGAGGACCACCATGTACCGTGTTTTTTTTAGTATTATGATTTATGATTGGACCCCAGCCCAGGTCCCACCATTCCTCTTCGGTCCTTTTTCCGTGGGGAGAGAGATGTCATCCATATTACCGCAGCCATTGCCAACTTGAGGAGCATTGCCCATACCGAAACCAAAAAACTGCATAGAATTCTTAATCTGTGACACAACAGGGACTAATCATAACATCTGAGCAGTTCGTATGTTGGCGCTTCCTTTCGTGGATGAAGACTCTTAACGATGTTCAAGTTTTTAGCAGCCGCGAAGCTCATACTCCCTTAGGATGAAATCGTTATTCTGTTTTTTTTGCAAAATTCCTCGTAGATAGGGCCATAAGCTTCGCCCATGTGATGATTTAACATACTCAATGACTATATTACCTAATTTCAAGTCTGTCTCTTTGTTGTACAGTCGGCGCGAGAGCCTCCTTCCGGCTGCGATGGCGACTGGCGTGAGGAGCCACTTGCCAGTACAATCACCCAGAGAGAAGATGGAGTCCACGTTGGTACGCTGGTATTCGTCCACTATCACGTGCTGATCTTTGTCCACTGCCACACCACACTTGTCAAGAGAAAGTCTAAAATACATCAGGGTGAACATCAAGCTGAAGCATTCTGTGTTTTGAGCATCCTGCTATTTTTATTTGTCCCCATCAGTATAACTGCTTAAAATACTAATACTAGTTTAACGGCCAAAAAAGGAAATAATAATTAGACAAACCAGCTTCAATGGTAACTCACAAACACGCTCAGTTAACTTACTACGATCACTTGATTGCTTATCTATAAGTGCAGCCAATACACAGGCCACTAGTTACCGAAACTTCAAACTAACAAATTAAAAATTACCGGTCAGTGTTTGGAATTCTGCCGATGGCATTGAGAACAACTTGAAAATTATCCAGGGTTCCTGCCGCAGTTTCAACGCCGAGAGATCCATCGCCATTCTTGAATAATTTCTTAGGCGTCGCATTGGTCACCAACTTAATACCACTGCTTTTTATTTCTTCAGTTAAAATCTCACTGATTGTCTCATCAAACGATCTCAACACCTTCTCTTTCCTAATCACCAGTGTCGTTTCACACCCTAAAGCATTCAGAATCCCTGCCATCTCAACTGCAATGTACCCAGCACCGATCACACAACAGCTTTTTGGCAGCTCTTCAAGAAGAAAAAATCCATCACTGTCAATAGCCAGTTCCTCGCCAGGAATTCCAAGTGTCTTTGGTCGACCCCCGCATGCAATTAAGATCCTTTCTGCAGAATAAACTCCAGCATGGGTACCCTCGACTTCAACTTCAGTCGCACTTTTAAACTTGGCTGACCCCAAAATAGTAGTGACATCTACCTTGTCTAGTCCCGATATGTACAGACCATTCAGTCGTTTGATATATGCATCTCTCGCTTGCTTCAGTTTAGGCCAATTAAATGTCGGCTCATTGAAATCGAAGCCATAATTTGCTCTTGCATCGTGGTCCAACACTTCTTTGATTGAGGCAGCGCAGAACATGATCTTTTTCGGAACACATCCTACATTTACACATGTGCCGCCAATTGGTCCGCTTTCGATAACTGCAACTTTGGCTCCGAAAGAAGCAGCTTTCTTGGCACTGGCTATGCCCCCGGATCCAGCCCCGATTATCAGGTAGTCGAAGTGTTTTGAAGACGCAACTGGAGCCATGGACAAAAAGCGTCTTAGCATCTGAAAATTCAGGAGACCCATTCAAGCGAGAAACCGAAAGCGCTCATACTTTTAAATGACTTGAATTACATGAGGTCAATTTGGACAAGCACTGATAACTTTTGATTCCCGAAACTATAAGAAATGACAAATTCTTTTCTTAATTGATCGACTAGACCAACAGCGAATAAGAATATTAACATTAAACTTAGCAACGTATCGTCAAAAAAATGAATAAACAAAGTTATAGTTATCTGCAATACAAAAGGATGATACAATAAATTATATTAACAAACTTTCAGAATTTATTTTCACTTGGCCAGACTATCGTTGAGAGCGATTGTTTCTCTGATGATCTGCTTCGTTATTTCCTTGAGATTTCTATTGTTAAGATTGGCAGCAATAGTGACTATGATGGGTCTGCTCCAGTCCCCTCTGGGGGCACAGACTGCCAAGTGGGAACACAGTCCAGTGCTGGCACCGCCATGTCCCACTATCACTGTACCTGCAACATATCTATGGATAAATAGTATTTCTTCCAGCCAATTATTTACTTCCAAAATTATTTAACAGCACTAAAAAAATCCAACTAGTCAAATGATTCTTCTTCGTGGGCAAACAGAAGTGAATTTTGAAGTGTTTTCTTGAAAAACAAAAAATCATCCTTCAACTCGATTTGCAAAAAAATCCAGTAAGAACTAGACCACGAGTTCTTGTGCGAAAAGTGCGCTGTTATATTTGTAAATTCACAATAAGATGCAAACTGATTTCGTGTGAATGAGTGTCACTTATTCTAAGGCTTTAATGGACTAGAAAATTGCTCGAATTCAACAAATTGTTCAAATTCAACAAATTTAGTCTCTAGCCCAAAAATTTTTAGCATTCTTTGACCTACCTTCAGGTAACGACGGGTCGTTTTCGTGGACAGACATTCCCAAAGAGTATTTCACATGTTTCCTGTTTGTCATTGAAACCTCCTTTCCTTTCGGTGGCCTTACAATCTGATCGAAAATCTCCCTTTTCACTCCTGGGAGAAACATTTCCTCTCCCGTCATAGTTCTAGCAAAAAGCACTCCCAGGTGGCTCAAATCATTGAGGGTAGACACCATCCCTCCGCCTGCTGTTTTATGCATTAGAGTCACTTCTGGAACTGGTGTCAGTCGTTCCTGACAGCGTTATCAATTTAACTTGAGGCTCCTCAACGCAACAGAACCAATACGAATTCACCAAACATTTCCGTGATATCGAGACAATTTTGTTAACCAAAAGTGCAAAAAATCCAATACTCAAAATTATAGACATTTTTCCAGCTTATCTAATTTTTTTTTGCGTGTGTATGGGTGAAGCGGATTTTGATAAATTGTGGTTTTCTTCCAAGCCGTCATCTCAAAATATGAGAAAATAAAACCATAAAATAAAATGACGTCAAATCCAACAGGAGCGTGAGAAAACTCAACAGAGATTCATGTTTCACCACAGCAGATAGTTGTGGTGATTCAAGATAGTTGTCAAGATAGATTCAAATTTTTAAGATAATGGCACACAAATACAGCATAATTTGTTCGGAACCCACCAAGTTAAACTGAATTCTATGCCTTTTTAGGGTCATATAGATAACAGGGCATTCTGTTGAACACGAACTCTCGTGACTTCGGAGTCGGTTCCGGAAGTGTATGGTTGAGTCCCATCTGGCGCACGAAGTCGAGGATATATTCGTGAAATGGTTTGTCCATCACTGTTTCAAGGACAGCACTGAGAAGTGTGAAGCCATATGTTGTGTAGAGGAAGATGGATCCTGGCTTATGGAGCAGCTCGTCATCTAAAACAATTAAACATCTAAACATGACAAAAGCTGCTGATATATCTAGATCATAGAAATAAATCGGGAGCAGATCTTCTCAAATAACCATTTAAAAGATTATTTAAATAGCTGATGCAAATTTAATTATTAAAATCTGAAGCTTTAATGCTTTTTCTAGAATAAAATTAAGTTTAGACAAAGTTTCATTGTCAGAAAATTTATGATCCACTCTGTTTTTACAAAAACCGTCCCCGAATTCCGTAACTTGCCTTCAGACTAAAACACATTTCTAACTGGTGCTTTGTTTAATATCATAAGACGCCAAAAACAAATCGGGGTTTATTGTCAGCAACAAATTCTGATGATCAACGGTTCCTTGTCTATATCTTCGAAATCAGTTTGAATCAAACTATCATATCGGCAACTTACATCGGGTGCGGAATATTAGATTTAGTTCTCAGCAATCAAAAACTCTGCGGCCCACCATATCCCCAACACAGTCTTAAGCAACCATCTACCAATAATTTTTTAAACGAGCTCACCTAGGTTGCAGATTAACAGAGCAAATGGTTTTTCTAAAGCTTCATTCGATAAATCAAATTTCTGCACTAAATAGGAAAACTAGTTCCATATTACAGTTAGAAAATGTAATTCACCTAAAATGAAAAAGGTTTCTAGTTCCATATTTTTATTCCTCTCATACAATGCAGCGAAACGTCGTTAAAAATGGAGTGTACTGTCCTCCCTTCTGAGTAGTAACTATGTCGGAATTTTTTTAAAATTGTTTTCAAATCCTTCGTTCTTTTAGCAAGAAAAACTCATACCTTGATGTCATGCATTTAGATTGGGAAAGTGCAACAAAGTATTTGATCTCGGTATTCGTCTCGAAATCAAAACTTTCTTGTTAATGAAAATTTAAGGATCGTTTTCTGCATGTCCGAAGTGTTTCCGCTTATATCAACAGTTAAAATTTTCTCGGAATATCTAAAGACTGATGTGCGGTCGGGTCTGATGATGTGCTGTCATAACCGTTGAATCAGTGTGCAGATATTGGACTTTCATAATTTTGTTCTTACTTTGAAGCAGTTCAAATTTCTTGTGAAAAGCCATCCTACTGGAAGACAGTGTTCGTTACTGCTATACACAAAAGCAATTCCACTAACGAAATAACAGATTATAGATCAATCAGCATCCTGGCAAAAAGATGTTGATTTTAGACAGAATCATTTTCAAATTCAATCATGCTAATGCCAAAAAGCTGGCGGCAACATGGTTTTATGAGGAAACGCAGCAACTTTTTTTTAAGTCTACTGTTATTTCGATTCAACATTACAACCACAGCAAATTATTTCGGTGTGGGAAAAGGATTTCAGTTCCCCAATTTTAAAAAGAAAAACGTGTTTTCTTTGATTTCGACTATAATTTCATTACTTTTTTTCTACTCATATTTGGTGACTCCAAAGCAAGGTGTCAAGATAAACTGTTGTATCGTCTAATTTAGAAGTTAGTTCAGGTGTGCTGCAAAGTAATATTCTTGGTACCTTCCTAATGACGCTATTTAAAAACGATTTACCATCTTCTGTCAAGGAATCTTCAAAATATTAACAGGTTGTCGATATGAAAATCTTAGCGCCTCTTTCAAAAATACATGGATGCATTGTATACCTGGACTTAGGATAGTAGTGTAAAAAATTTGGTAACTTTTTGTCGGCCTACAATTTAAATGGTGAACATTACCTGAAATTGACGCTACTTAAGATTTCGGTCTGCTTAATTCGCGCAATCTTGTTTGAAAAATTGACACTAAATTGTCAAAATCGTCAAAAAAAAATCATTTTATGCGTCAATGCTTACAATTTATTGTTCGAATATTCCGCAAAAACAATTGTACAGCTTTTTGATAAATTTGTCTCTATGGTACTGTTCTCCCGATTGGTGTCCAATCAATGGTAGCCTTCGAAAGCTGGAAAGATTTTGACAGAACTTCACAAGTTAGATAGTACCTGTAGATGATTACGTAGAAGCATTTGCGGAACCATTTTCGCACGTAGATTGAAAAGCTGTAGACTGAAAAGACAGGCAATTCATTATTTATCAGAGCACCAAGAACTGCCAATGAACTACTGAGACTAAAAATTATAGACTTTAGCGCTTCATTTAGTGTCTTTCGACAGGCAGTGTCTTTAGTGTCTAAAAACACAGTCATTAAGAAAAAAATCATCGAGTTTCATACATCGGGAATAATGGGGCGCGGAATAATTTAAACAAACGAATCACCGCAGCCGAATGCTGATTTATATTTAAAAAAAAAAGATGTAAATAAATGTTGTTCATTTCTTATTCAAATTTACACCATTTTTCTGCTGGTGTGACGATACAAAAAAAAAACTTGGCATGAAAGCCTAGAAAACGAAGCATTATCGACTAATGTTGTCTACGAAATTAGACTAAAATTTCAAACCAATTTTTCTCGACATAGACAACTTTTTGAAAAATTTTAATGTCGTTCGAATCACGACTTAAAAGGCTTTCATAGCGTACATCACTTGACACATTCTGACATTTTTGGTAACCCGATTTTGTGCGGAAAAAAAGACTTGAACACACCCAAAAACAAAACTTTTACCCACTTTCAGAGTTTGAAACAATATGCATCAAAAAAGAAATAGAGAGGAGCTAAATAAATCATGATAAATTTGAACTTTAAAAATCAGAAAGCTCACATTGCCATGAAGTTTTCGACGAAGACTTTCGCAATTAATATCCAACTAATTTTTTTTTATTTAACTACCATTGAAGCGTCATTAACTTGAGTAATTCTGCTTTAAGATCAAAAGATAACTTGAATCCGTAGAAAAATTGCAGAAAAAATTAACTTGAACCGCATTACAGAGCACTCACGCCTCATTTCAGTATGTACAAAGAATTTAAACGAATTACGAAGTGCACTTGAAAAAAAAACTTCATAATAAAAATCTTGAAAAAAAAACAAACAAATTTACTTGGCCAGGTTAAGTTGGTACGACCAAAAGTAACAAGAAAGATCAAGATCCAAAATGGTGGTAATAAATTAAAATTCAACTTAAATTATCTATTTCACAGGCATTTACTCAGTAGCCACTAGAATCAATGTTTAAACAGACTTGAAACTTCAAACTGCCGGGTCGGAAGGAATATTACGGCCTACACAGAAAGGAACAGTAATGTACTTCACTGACCTTTGAAGGCTTTAATAGTCTCCTTCAACGAAACAAACTCATCATTTCTTTGAGAATTTCGCGCCGTCTCGGCCATCTTTTCCTCTTCAGTGAGCAACTTCGAATCCTTCTTGATGTAGTGTCTCACTCCTGACGTGTGATTCAGTAGCTGTCTAATGGTAATATCCACTGCCTCCCCGTCTACTAACTTCTTCGGGAAATCCTGCACAAAAGAAAACCTACCAAAAACCAGAAATGTTTCATTGGTTTCCCAACTAATAGTTAACAACTACTCTAAATTCTTCAAGTTAACAATTAGTGAATAATCGCTTTTTAGAGAAAACTTTAATATCATTAGTACTCAGATCCGTTGCCAAACAATTAACCTATTTTTGACTCGAGTCTAAAAATTGTGTCTATAACTCACCTTCAAATAAATATATATACTATCGTCTAAATGTATTTTTCCCTCGCTGGCTAGTTTGATAGCAATTAGTCCAGTGATCAGTTTGCTAATGCTGGCTATTCGAAAAGTGGCTCTTGACCCGTCGCATGGAATCAGTTGCTCGATGTCACAATAGCCAAAATCGTTTCGGAACACTACCTCTTCGTCAATTTGAACCTAGCAATACAACCGAAACACCGAATGAGAAAGAGGCACGGTTTGAATCTATTTCGGTCGAGATTACCAAAGGCTTTCTGTAAAAAAAAACAATTAGTTACTCTACTGACCATTCGCTCTAAGTCAAGCCAATACTTCCAAACATGATGTTTCTTTGCCGTCACAGAAAAACACCAGAATCCGAAGTTCATTTCGAATTCTCGGTCGGAGAGACAACAAAAGAAAAAACAAAACGACGATTAAATTTGTTTTTTTTGGATTGCACTTTGGAAGATTGGAAATATTAAAACGAGCATTTTCTAGAAATTTAAGCAGTAAGTCAACATGAAAAAACACTGAGCTCTGATTAGCTGAAAAAGAATGCTTTCAACCAAGCGAACTGTCTCCCTAAAATAGTCGAGGGGTAGATAGTTCACTTGGCCTAATTGCTATTATATTTAAGACAAGATTTACCTGACAGATAATTCCTGGAATCAGATTTGTAATTCGGTACATTTCAATTTCTCTTTTCAAGTTCTGTCTGAAGTCTTTTCTCTGCAACCTCAGAACTTTTTCTTTATCATTCGACCTTTCGGAACTCTTCTGATATCGGACTGGATTCAAAATTTCGTGGGACAGTTCGTCCCGTGATTTCATGTCAACCAAATTTCCCCTTCTGTTCCATTGATAGATCACAAAAGTTGCAGCACCAGCGCCCAAAAGCGAACCGAATGATATATACAGTCTGTGATTGGAGTGATAGTTTTCGCTTTTTGAATAACTTGATCTTCTAGAGCTACCATAGGTAGAAACTATACATGGTTTGGTACTATGTCTGCTCAGAATATGATTAGGCAAGCGTGACAATATAAACGAATAACAAGTTGAGTTCCGTATACTCATATTATAGCATTCAGAATCTCGAAAAATTTATAAAGATATTTGACAAAGCGGAGAGTGGAAATTATCAACGATTTCGCACTATCTGCAACCTGTTCCTAGCCGACAATGAACAACTTATGGGTTCATCGGATTTATGATAACAATATTTGCTTTTCTTTGACCTTTTTCAGTCCACAGTGAACACCAAATTGAATAGTGCATTTTCAAATTCAGTCACAAACTGAACAAAAGCTTCTGACTGCTTGAGTCTTCTGACCATGTTTTTACATTTTTTTCATGTCTTCTGACCATGTTTTTACATTTTTTTCATGAATACCCACCGGGTATCGTGATCCGAACGCAATTGTTCCGTTATTTGAGATTTTTTGCAGGAGACGGACTGCATACTTCTTGAAACAACATGTATGTAACAATTTTACTCAACATTATTGGCTTCAGCATTCAAAATTATATTTATTTTGCCAAAACTGCATGTAAAAAGCAAACGTTTTTCCACGTCATCTTTCTGCTGTTTCCATACCAACTACAAAACTTGATTCCAAGTTCGCATTAACAACCAAGTTGGTCCTTCAGAAGTACATTTGCGGTAATCAAAAACGACAAAACAAAAAAACTTTACATCATAACTTTCTGCCGTTTACATAAAAAAATTACGAAATAATGAAATCGGCCAAAACCAATGAAATCAGAACAACAAAAAAACTTATAAACCCTTTATTGTTCCACCCATTGAAACTGGAGAAGAACTTTGTATTCGGTTGTGTTTTAGTTTTTTTTGTTCCACGCAAAATCAGGTTCCACATTTTGATTCGAACCACATAAAACTATTTCCAAAAATTTTTCTTGTGTTGAAAATTTGAATTTTTGTCTCAATTCGAGTGAATAAAGCAAGCGAGCAGGCTCATAACACGAAATGTTTAATTTAAGACCTTAAAACTTAATTTAAGCAAGTAAGACCAATTTTGCAGTTTTTAGTTTCATTTTGGGAAGCAAAAACTTCAAAAACTTTTTGAAAAAAAAATTCAATACTTTTTCAGTTTTTCTAGTCAATTTTCTCTAATTTTCCCATAGTAGGACTGTCTAATGTGCCTGATTATATTTTTAAGGCAGATCCTTTTATCACACCAAGCAGAAAACACTTCACTAATTAGGAAAAAAATTTAAGATTTTGTTTAGGGGGGAGCGCTCACGGAAAAAAATTATTTTCGTCAGGCAGTGATATGATCCATGACATCGCTAATTGCAGCACAATTTAAATTTAGCTTTTTTCGATTAAAAAATTATTGATTACACAAAGCTGATTTAAAATATCCAGACAAAAAAACAGAACTGGAAAATTTGAAAGCGTTTTTCTCAAACTGTAATAACATTGGACGAAAAATGAGATAACAAAATTTGCTTCGAATTTTAACAGAATTAATGTGGTGCAGCTCAGGTCTAAAATTTTATGCCCACAACAATGAATTTCGGCTTTTTAGTCAATCAAAATGTTTTAGTCAACCGCCAAAACTATCGGTTCAATTGATGTCAAAACTATATCAAAAAGAAAAACTTATGCAGTTCATTAAAGTTAAAGAAATGTATAGTCTTCAACTTTGTACAAAAATAACATTTTTTAAGAGAGTTGTTTTAAGCATTTTGCAGCAATTGAGCCGATTTTTGGCGTGATTTCTGATTGACTAAGACAAGACATAATTATTCAATTTTGTGTAAAAGTTTTGGGCTGGAATTTCGCAAAATTATTTTACACTATAAAAATTCTGCGAATAATCTATTCAGTAATTGACTTCATCATTTTTTTGTTTCAAATCAACCCATTTTGACAATTTACAGTAATAATAAAATTATTAACAAATATATATTTAAAATAACTCTCATAAGTCACGATTTTCGACAGACTCTTGTCGCATTTTAGATTAAAATACATCTCCAAAAAATCAAAAACAACTTTTTTTTATCTTTTATTGGCTTAATTAAGCTGTGCAAAAAAATGAACCTAGGAACTTTCACTAAAAATCAATGCTTACAACGCTTGGGATTATTCAGAGAAGTGTCGATAATTGGAAAAAAGACATTCTGTTAGAACAAAAAAGTCAGTCGGCCAAAAAGCTACAGAACGAGACAAAAGATCTATTTGATTGTAAAAAACTTCCTTTTACCAAAAGCTTCAAAAAAATTTGATCCAGCTTTATACTCATAAGCCAGCAAAATTCGATCAATTTGATCAAGGAAGGTTTGAAAGCACACATAAGCGCCAAAAAACTTAATTTCAGACAAAAAAAACGAGCGCTTAAAATGTGCCAAATTTTTGAGAAAAACCAGAATATTTTTGGAAAAATGTTTTTTTTTTCTTCAGAAAACACATCGATGAATTACACTTCAGCGCCAAAGTATATGTGAGACGACCAATTATCATCTTAATTATGTCAACCCAACATCAAAAAAATAGATAGCAAAAGGGGTGATGTTTTGAGGCTATATAATTTTCTGGGGAAAAAGATATAGTCACAAACGAAAAAATATTTTGGCCAAATATTGCAAGTTACTCAGAAACAACGAGATAGAGAACATTATCTGTACGAACTTTTCCAGCAAGATGATGCCGGTTGCCGTACTTCAAAACTTCTGACGAAACTCGGCCCCCCCCCCCCCCCCCCCCACAATATCAAGAAATAGTGAAATAAACGAAACAAAAGATTCGTGAAAAACACCCCAGAACAGTTAAAGGACTAATTTGTCAAGTTTTTGAAATACTTTTTGCTATTTGGCTATATTCGGCGTTCAATCTGCAGAATTCCTCTTCGCAATTTTAAAAAATAAGGGTTTTACAAGCAAATACTTAAAATAAAATTTGGAAAAAAATCAAAATTTTTAGTATTTGGTTTGAGAACCATTATTTTGGTGCGTTTGTTCTACGAGTCGATCAATTATGTTTGTACACCATTTTCTTGAAATATATAATAAATACAGAAGAAAAATAAACAAAAATCAACATCTGTATGTGGTATATAATTGAAAAAATTGATGTGAATGTTTCACGTCTTTTATTAGTCCACATAATTTAAAACAGCCAATCGAAGACTGCAAATGAGTAATGAACGCAAGTAAACAAATAAAACAATGACTTTCTTGAAAAAATCTCAACTTTCGAATTTCAAAGAAAAAAATAGATGCCCTTTAAGCTCTTTGAATTTCAAGAACAATTTATGATTGGCGCTTAAGCAAAAAGGAGCAACACAAGCACAAAACAGAAGCCAGTAGTTTAACAAATAAAAAAGGGAAAAGAAAAGACAAAAAACTTTAACAATCAATTTTAAAAAACCAATACTCCAGAATTTGAACTCAAACCTCCAGGCCATGTATCACTCGTATTAACCACTTAACCATAGCTCATTGCGTTAACAACCTTCACCGGTTTATATGATGTCAGTCAGTAAAAATGTCATTTTTTCCTTTAAAAATTGGGTTTGAAAAAAGTCAATTTAAAATAATTAACACGCAGGCGGCGAAATTACCCAGCACAGAAATCATTTGAAACTGATTCTGGGCAGGCTGATTGGTTAAAATTACCGTGTTGCTGAAGGGAGAAAACATCATATTGTACTTTACATTGAAAACGGGGGAACATTACATGAATTATAAACACTCAATTCAAAAATTACCTTTTTTTCCCACCAAACGAGCAGTCCCGAAACGAGCAGTCTTGTTAACCGATAGGGTACACAGCAAACATTGCAAAAACGCTAACCATCACGCATACTTATTAGTATATTTGATAGCAAGAAATCCGATTTTTACAGAGCTGCAAGGCAAAAAGGAGGAACACGAGCAAAAAAATCTGTTTTCCGCACAAAAAACAGTTTCTATTGTTGCACTCAATTTGTTGGTCTCAACAGTATCAACAACCTTTTTGCATTTTTACGAATTTATTTCATGAAAACATTTCACAATAAAAATCAATTTGAATGCAAACTTTTGAAAACTAAACTAAGTTAGACAGATTTTCCAAATCCGATGTATTAAAATCTAGTTTAGAAAACTATTGGCAAAAAAATACTAGTGGGATGAATAAAACTTAACCCTGAAATAAAAACACCTGCTAAATTCATAATATGTAGCACTGCTATGTTCAGAAGTGAAATTTAAGTCAGGTGTTGAAATAGATGAGCACAAATACTGAGATGAGAAATATTAAAAACACTCCAGGAAAATTAAACTCATGATATGCAAAAGCATGTTTGCCCAATTCGAAATTAGATTGCGAAATTTGGATGAAAATATAGCTTGGAATGAAATTAGAGATAATCCATTTGAACAACATTTAATTTTCAATCGATGAAACCTTTTGTGGAAAATATTCAAAGAAAGCAAATGATGAACTGAGTTCAATTTTGATTATACCTTAAAGATTGAGGAACATCGCACCCATGACAAAGCTTTTGAAATAAATGAAAACACATATGCCAACTGCGATCTAAGAAAAGATGATTCTAACTTAATCGATACCAAAATTATAATCGAATTGTTCTTAATTTTAGTCAACTTCGTTGTCGTTGCTGGGCGTTGATTCGTCTGTGAAGCCCTCGCAACTCATCAGGAGTTTCGGGACTCTCGCTATTGAGTCCGAGACACTCCCTAACGAGATCGGGCCCTCGGGTGAACTTATAAATGTGACGTCATCTGTAGTTCCAGACTCACTTTTCACGACACTTGGGTCATGTTCCGAGACAACGACTGGGTCTGTTAGTGTACTGGATGAAATCGGTTTCGATTCCGTCAAGATGGTCGGGGAAAACGAAGCAGTTAATGATTTGTCAGGCAGTAGTAGCTTTTTGGACGCTCCGTTTAAAGCTTTAAAATTTCTAGCTTTCGGTGGATTTTTCCGTACTGTCACCATAGTTTCCGGGGATGATTTGACAAATGGTGACTCTATATTGCTACAATCTGATTCTTCTTTCGTTTTGCTGCTATGAATCGCAGCCCCATTAAGAACTACTTTTTGGTCGGGCGTGACAGGCGAGTTATTATTCTCGCCACTGACATACAACTCGACCATTTCCGAGTTGTTTTTAGTACTGGAAGAATTACTACTCGTACTGGGATATTGCGATGACAGTTCAGGGACGCCTGAAGCCTCTGAGCTCTCCTCTAATTTACTCGATGGCACTCTAATAGATCCGTTTAAAACATCTCTAACTTGTTTCAAGCCAGCAATCGACACCAATATCTTTTCGTCATTTTTTAGTTCCTCATCTTGCAAAACTTCGTATAGCGATTGAATGAATGTTTCTATTCTTTTAGAGCAATAATTGCACTTATTGGCTAGATCTTCTCGTGGTGTTTGGGAACTGTTTGTACTTCTTGAACTGTTCGCACTGTACCGTGGTGTCGTGGAGGTGCTTGAAGCTTGTTGATATGTGAGTAATTGATTGGAAGCAGTAGCAGTTGAAGTATACGAGAACTTCCGCGGAGACCTTTGCTTGTTCGGTCTGTTCTCTATAATTCTAGATAAATCCATCGGCTTTTCCGCCTTCCTTGGTGTCTCTGGCTCTTTGGAGCCCCCGGATCCCATAACCGCACTTAGCAAGTTAGTTAAACTGTACGACCTTACTGTTTTCAGTGGGACTGTTTTCTTGGCAGCCGGTTTGTCTGGATGTTCCCAACCTGACCTGTCTACGAAGTCCAGAGGTTTTGAATTGTTATTCGGATCGGCAATGTACATGGCCCAGGAAACTAATCTGAAGGTGGTCAAGTTTTTTGGATGACGCATGAGAGTTTGTAGGCAAGATGAGTGATCGCCGCTTATTAACTCGTTGCGAATAGAGTACAAGATAGCACAGTATACAGAGTCTATAAAGGACAGATCTGAATCATAGGCAAATATTGCATCCCAGAGATTCAAAACTTCATTGAAATGTAATTCTCGAGCAAAAATTAAACGAAGCCATCTTAGACTAAAGAAATGTGGTTGTATGTCCAAGCAAGTCAGTTTATAGTGTAACTCGGGGTCCATACTTCTGACTGATTTGGACCATATGGCATTGATTTTCTTAATGGCAGGCGACTGCAGTTCTAGCTCTGAATTCTGAGAATTTGAGAATGCGAACCTTGATTTGAACTGCTGGAAAGTGGAGTCCCGATACTCGTACCATACTTTGGTGTGCTGCATCACCTTCGAGAACAGAATGAAGGCGTCGTGTTCTATGTGACTGCTTCTTAGCACCGCATGCACTCGGTCGCTCATTTTCGTCTTCGACTTGACGCACTTTTTGAACGCCGTGTGGTCCTTATCAAGTACATAAAAGATAATAGCTAGCAGTTCATGCATACCCTGTTTGTAAAGCACGTCGGAGTTTTCCTTAGCGTAGATGAACAAAATCGTGCACATCATTCCGACCACCTTCGGATCCGCGAAGAAATCCATTTCGGGAAATGTTCTCACGACATCTTGGCGAATATCGCGTCTCAAATCTTCGTCAGAATATGCTCCAGTGCCGTTGCCACCATTTCTCATAGCGCTAGCTTTTTCACTGCTTTTCTCATAAACTTCCGTCAGATATTTTTCCTTCATTCGTTCGTACCGACTTCGCTGGATACTACTTTCGTGCATCCAAGTTTTCGGGTTTGGTGGTAACAATGCCAACAAAAGTTTCCAAATCACAGATCGAAAAGGCAAATCCGAAATCTCACCAGCGAATGCGAGTTTCCGAATATTCGCAAGGCACTCTTTGGAAGAACCGTTAAACACACTTGTCCAGGCTGACCGGAAACCGGACTTGTCCGAGCCTGAAGTGGACTCGGGTGGGATTTCGTCGAAATCGGCCGACTGACCAGCCCACATTTTAGAGCTAGACAACATTATTGTTTTAACAAATAAAAAGAATGCTTCTACAAGCCATTAATGGAAAACTGTCACCTAGTGACAAAGGATTCGTTGTGTAGCATTTCATCTGAAAACTGACATTGTTTATTCTGGTCAATACATGAACACCATAGCAACAAAATGGACAAAAGTAGACGTTCTAATGCCAGAGGAAAACATATTTAGGTTTCCACATGTGGAACGCAAAGAACCAACAAATAAACTAAGATTGAAAGCTAACATTAAATCTTTGCTTTTAGAAGGAAAACATCTGGTTTTCAAAAGATTTAAAATTCGTTTTTATTTGCACTTAGCACAAGTATGTTATAGAAAGTTTCATTTCAATTAAATTGGGGCAGACCAAATAGCATAATACTCGACACCTCACCCCTAAATTTTTTTTAAAAAACTGTCGCTTAGCATACTTTTTGGAGGGTAAGAAAATGTAAATTAGCATGTGAAACAACTTTACTTCAGGCTGCATTTTAACCAACTATATTTATAGCTACGTTTTATACTTAAACAGTCAGCCCTAGCTTGGACGAAAACGATGAAAAAAAGTTCACCAAATTAGCATTCAGTAGAAAAAAACCGTGATAAAAAAGTTAGGTCAACCACTATGTCGGATACTAAATCAGGGGGCGGATATAGGATTTTCTCGAAGAGGGACGGATGAGCGGATTTTATCGGCCTTTTTTTAGGTCGATCAAACTGATTTTCCGAGCTATCACATATCACTATAAAACCCTATTTTGACCAAATTTTCTGCTCCGCAGGCAAAACTAAGAAAAAACTGGCCAAAAAAAGGGCGTGTTAGGCACTTTTTGGAAAATTTTGACCAAAAAATTGCCTTTTTCGGTGCGCGCTTCCCTCTCAAAATTTACAAATAATTTAGGGTTTTTCAGCCGAAAATGGATATTTCAAAATAGTCCGCAGGGTGTCGAATCACTGAGACTTGAAGGGGCGGACGCCCCCCTTCCCCTAAAGCCGCTAGTGCACTAAATACTACGTTAAAGATAAAATTAAATGAAGATTGCAAGGCAACTCTTTTCTGAAATAAATTCAAGTATGCTAAGCGACACATCTTTGACAAAATGTTGGATAATACTCGATGAGTGTTATGGTAAGTGACGTCAACCCAATTAAAACAACTAAGATATTCATAACAATGTAAACAACATTAAATTTTAGGGATAGCAGTTTCATAGTCAACGTATATTACAGAAAGTAATATTTGAGGTTTCAAAATGCCAGCTGCGAAAATACACATCAAACCTCTTTTCAGTCTAGGCAGAATTTCAACTTGAGCTTTGCCGATTTATCGGGCACAAAAACAGACACTTTTAGAGGTTCAAAGATCTTCAGCTCAATTTCGTGACAATTTTTGCTCTCATCTGGGTCTTTTGAAGGAGGGAACTTGATCGTCGCTTTGTTCTTTTGAGGAACAGAGGAATGTTTAATGGGAGTGATGTCAAAGCCCTCTTGTTCCTATAAAAACAAAGGATCAGAACTCATTAGACAGTTTTCCTATTCTAATACAAAGATATCCTATTAGTGAGCAAGTATCGTAGAACGTTCCGATTACGGGCATTCTGAAAAAAGTTTCCTCTAAAACAGGAAAGTTTCCGCTAATTTGAGAAAAATTACGTTAATTTGAAAACAAATCGAAACATCTAAACACGAGATACAAATATCAATGATCTATGAAACTTCAATAGCACTCAGGATTAAAATTATCAGGTAATTGCGCCATAGGATACACAAAAACATGTAGAAAATCAAAACTTCCAAAATATTGACATGCAAGCGAACATTTAACCTGGTTGTTGTTTTGGATTATATAAGAAGGGATTTTTGAAACTAAGTTGTTTCTTTAATTTTTGACGCAATTTTTTAGATCTTTTATTCCAAAAATGCTAAATTTTAGAAGAATTGTAGATAATTTATAGATTATGAAGAAGTCAAATTGTAGTAATTTAGTATAATTTATAACAATAGAAGTTTATTTCTACAGAGCTCACAACACTAAATCGAATTGCACCGAATTTCTTGATATTGCCAACAAGGCACAAACTTTGCATTGTACAGTTGAACACAAGACAACATTACTGTCGAGAGCAAAAAAAAACATCTTGAGTAAAGTACCAAAAATTACAATTGAGCGCAACCGCAGCCAATTTCAAACGTTAATACTCCATTATATTATGATTTTCGTACCAGTCTTACTAAAATCAGAAAGAATCGATTTTAATGAAATCATAATATAATCAATTAAAAAACCTTTTAATCGATTGTAATCGATTATTAGCCAGTCTGTTTTTCGCTACAATTATCATCGATGATGATCAATTATTTTTATCACACTTTCTAATTCATATGTTGTGCTCAAAACACCCATTATAATCGATATTACCGACTATAATCCCCTTTGTTAGCCGATTTTGTCTTCGACATTGCATCTGAAGTGCTGATAATTTATGCTTTTCGTAGAGGTTGGTTTATGTAAAAAATGAGAAAAATGTTTCAAAAGTTTTCAAAACAATTCAAATTTATAAATTTTTTAAGTTTTCATTTCTCCATTGAAGTTGTATCATGATGCACATTTTTAGCTTTTTTAACCACCAAAATATCAGCATATTGCTTTAGTTTCATGATTTATTCGGAAAATTTTATTTTCAGCAAAATGAAATGATCTCTATGAAACTTTTATTTCGTGGTAAGACTTTGTGTTCAGATAAACCAAAGTGTGAGACGACATCTCACGTTTAGATATTTGGTTTTTGACAGAAAAACAATAGCCCATGGAATAAAATTAAAATATACTTTTAGTGTGAGAAAATTTTGGCAAAATAAAAGATTATAATCGATTATAATTGATTTAAAGAGCATTTTGTTTGAATTATAATAAATTATAATTGATTTGAACAGACTATAATCTCTTGGAAAATTTCACGATTATAATAAACGCCTAATTTTGGTAATTATTATAAACATCATCAAAATGAATCCGTTATAATCGATTACTTACGCCTTAACTTGGATGCGGGCAGTATTCATATCAGTGATTCGCATTAGCTTACGCGTACATTTTCAGCCGAGTTATCATTCTTCGCAAAAATAATCACTCGAATGGCTTCTTTTGATGCATGACAGGTGATGTTAAAATCGAACTTCAAAATTATGAACCAAAATCGGAGGTCAATCAAATTGAGCAGATTCGTGATAACGAACAAGAATCTAAGTAAACGATCGCACAATAAGTTTTTAAACAGAAATTTTATCATAGAGGCAAAACTATATAAGGCACAAAAAAGAAAAAACACGTAGAATCACAACAAAATCTTCAACTGCAGATTTGGTCCAAAAAAAACCTGAACTTAACTGATTCAAACCTGCAAAACTCTGGGCGCAAGAGCGTCCGATTGAAATCATTGCACCATTGAGTTTTGCCACAGGCACATAAAGCTCAAATAATGCAACCGGTTTCCATTAATCAATCGGCTCGCAAAAAATTAGCTGTTCTTTGCGATACAATATCATGAATCGTCTCGCAAAATTTTGACTTTTCGAGGCGAGCTGTTTGTTCTAGCGATGCGAAATTGAATCAGTTCGCAAAAATTTTCCAAGCAAATTAAAATCGATTCCAAAAAATGTTTTTGCGAACAAGCCATCCAGTCGATGAAAATTCAAATTTTTGAAATTATTTTAAAAGGTTCATTTGAGCAGGCCAATCAATCCTTTGAAAATCAAATCAAATTCTTTAATAGTGAATAGTTTCATACTAAATTTAAGTTTTACTCGCCGAGCGATGAATATTGGGAACTACTTAACTTACTCCATTCCGTGAATCGAGAGGTAAAAATTCAAGTTTTACCAAGTCAGCCATTAAAACCAGGAACTTTTGAAACATTTTCGTGTTATTTTATACCCTAAATCGATCCGCAAAGTTAAGTTTTTCTGAGCAAGCCATTCAAACGAAACTTTCAAAATATTTCGACTTATTTTTTTACCGTGAATCCGTTCGCAAAAAATGGTTTTTCGGAACAACCAACAGAACCGATTAAACTTTGGAAATGTTTCAACTATTTCATAACGACAATCCGTTCGCAAAAAGTTAGTTTTCGAAGCAACCAATTCAAAAGATGAAACTTTCCAAGCAACCAATTCAAAAGATGAAGCAACCAATTTAAAAGATGCAATTCAAAAGAAAAAGTCGATTCGCATTAAGTTGACTTTCTGAGCAAGCCATTGAGGAATGAAACTTTGAAGTTATTCAAGTTATTCCATGGTGAATCAGTTCGTAAAAATTTTTCAGCAATTGATGAAACTTCTGAAATAATTGTTATTTAATTAATAGCAGGAGTCGGCTCAGAGAAAGGTAGTTTTTCTGAGCATGCCATTCAAACGAAAACTTTTGAAACATTTCGAAATATTTTTTTTACCGTGAATCCGTTCGCAAAAAAATGGTTTATCAGAACAACCAACTGAACCGATAAACTTTGGAAATGTTTCAACTATTTCATAACGACAATCCGTTTGCAAAAAGTTAGTTTTCGAAGCAACCAATTCAAAAGATGAAACCAATTCAAAAGATTAAAGATGAAACAACCAATTCAAAAGATGAAAATCAGAAGAAAAAAGTCGATTCCTATTAAATTGACTTTATGAGCCAGCCATTGAGCAAGGAATTTTTGAAGTTATTCAAGTTATTCCACGGTGAGTCAGTTGGTAAGAATGCTTCAGCAATGGATGAAACTTCTGAAATATTTGTTATATAATTAATAGCGTGAGTCGGCTCAGAGAAACCTAGTTTTTCTGAGCAAGCCATTCAAACGAAAACTTTTGAAACATTTCGAATTATTTTTTTAACCGTGAATCCGTTCGCCAAAAAATGGTTTATCAGAACAACCAACTAAACCGATTAAACTTTGGAAATGTTTCAAATATTTCATAACGACGATCCGTTCGCAAAAAGTTAGTTTTCGAAGCAACCAATTCAAAATATGAAACTTTCGAAGCAACCAATTCAAAAGATGAAACCAATTTAAAAGATGAAAGATGAAGCAACTAATTCAAAAGAAAAAATCGATTCGCATTAAGTTGACTTTATGAGCAAGCCATTGAGCAATGAAACTTTGAAGTTATTCAAGTTATTCCACGGTGAGTCAGTTCGTAAGAAATTTTCAGCGATGGATGAAACTTCTGAAATAATTGTTATTTAATTAATAGCGTGGGTCGGCTCAGAGAAAGCTAGTTTTTCTCAGCAAGCCATTCAAACGAAAACTTTTGAAACATATCGAATTATTTTTTTTTACCGTGAGTCCGTTCGCAAAAAAATGTTTTATCAGAACAACCAACTGAACCGATTAAACTTTGGAAATGTTTCGACTATTTCATAACAACAATCCGTTCGCAAAAAGTTAGTTTTCGAAGCAACCAATTCGAAAGATCGAACTTAAAACTCGAAATAATTTAGAAAAAGAATTGGCTCACAAAAAGTTGTTTAAGCAAGCTATTAAAGCGATGAAGCTTCGAAATATGTCAAGTAATTTCGTAAAGCGAGCTGGTTTGCTAAACGTTCAAGTTTTACTTAGCACGGCGTTCAAGCGATGATACAACATGCTATCGAGCCGCTGCAACTTTCAAACACTCTAGAACGTGTTTGCACAAATCCAATTTCAACGTCTAAGAACCAAAGATAGGTTTAGGTAGAATGGTGTTTCAGAAAATGAATTTACTTAGGCAAAATTGCGGTCAAAAAATGATAGGCACTGAACTGTCTAGCCTTTAATTTGAAGAGATTATCTTGTCTGAAGAGTTATTTTTTCAAAAACCTTTCTTTGTAATCCAGACTTCCGAATGTTTGAAAAATCCAGAATATTCCTGTTTTTCTCTTAAACGCTGAGCCTGAAAAATTTTCTTCAACATTGCGTTACGATTTAAAATGTTCAGTTTCTAGAAGATTCTTCCCAAGTGAATTGATGTCAGTCAGTTAAAATATAAGATACTAGAACTAAGTGCCACCGTTTAACCTCCGAAAAAAAATAGCTGAAGAACCTCACGTCTGCGCCACCGACGCTCGATTAATGGCAAACACTAGCCACCAGTAAAGCAGAAAACAGATGCTATGAAATTTCTAATGTTACAGATCCTCCTTAGCGCATGAGTGCCACCAAATGAATATTTTTATTTGCGCGCTTGATTGTCGGAAAAAAGTCACTCTAATGCTCTACGCTCCTCGCGAAAAACTCATTTAAATAATTTTTGTGAAGAAGCTTTATTATTCGTAAATTGACACTATAATGTAAAAAAAACTCTTTGATTAAATATTGAAAAATAGCTTACTCTTATGGTCGCTTTACTTAATCACAGATTCTTTGGTTCAAAAAACTTCAATTTTCGAGTTTCAAAAAAATACCACCTCAGCTGTGTGAATTTCAAGAATCTCATATAATCTACATTTTTTTATTAAACTATTCCAATTGAAGACACAGAGGTGACGCTGCGCTTCACAAACACTAGCCCGAAAACGACAAAAAGTAGCTCTATGGAAAAGAAAAATGAAAAATTAGAATGAGCCTCGAATAAGTAAAAAGATTTGCTCCGTGTCGGAATCAAAACCAAGACCTCAAGGTTCAGAGTCCAAAGCCCTTCCTTCACAACTACGGACGCTTAACGATCACAAACACAAGCCACAAATAAAGCAAAGAACAGATGCGATGAAATTTCGATGCTACAGATCGTGATTCTAGCAAAAGTGCCAACAAATGAGCATTTTATTTGCGAGTTAGGTTGGAAAAAAGTAGAGCCAAACTAATCTACTACGGTTGCTCGTGTAAACACTGAATCAAGAGCAATTTTTTTATTTCGCTGTGAGTCCCCAAAAACCTAAATCTTAAAATTGTATTTAAAGTCCGGCTTGTTTTTTCATGCTATTTCTTTTTTTAGTCGGAGAACAGTCCGAGCTCTCATTATCTCAAGCTATTATAGCTAATATATCAAGTGATCTAACCAAGCTCATTGAGGACTTCAAAATCAATAGCAACCCGAGTCAAGGAACGCGAAAGACCAGGAGCATTCACTCATCTATAAAAAAAAAGACTAAGCTTGATGGCACACAACTGTTCGTCTTGGTCAAGATTAACACGGATCCTATCATCTTCAAGTTGAAAAATGGCCTGTATTTTTAAGAAGCAGGAAGATTCCAAAGCAAGGCGAAATATTTGAACCCACATAATTGAGAAGAAGCAAAAAGCACCTCCTTGTGGTACCGATGCACAAAGACAGGAGATAGATTAAATGCAAAACTTTTTGTCATCGTCATCCTCATCGGAATGGTGGTTAGTATCTGTATCTAGAAAAACTAGCCGTATCTGATCGCATATGGAACAACCCAGTCTTCTTGGAATAAAAGGGTTACATTTTTAGCAAAAAAAAATATTTTCTCTTCGCTTTATTGCCGGCCCCAACGGACAAATTATTAAACCCTTAATTGTTGAGTTGTTGCTGACAGTAGAGACGAAAGAGAATCGCTCTTTGGAAAAATTCATGCTTAATAAGTGACCAGTAGAGACAGAGACGAACAACCCCTTGGAAATTTAAATTAAAAAATGATTTATTTCAAGAAAGTTCCCTATTAATGCTTCAAGAAGCCCACTCACCTCACGGGCTAGACAAACCACTGAAAATCTCAGCACACCACGCATCTATTAACTGCTAATTTTTCTATCTTTTGTTCAAGGGCCATTATTTCAATCTTGTATATTCTTGTATGATTGTAGGAGTTGACAAAAACAGCTGATTTAACTATTTGTTATGAGATAATCTGCCGTTTTTAAACAATTTATCACTTACATTGACATATTTAGCGTCCACGAAAACTATAAATTGCTGCTTTAGCTACTGATGTGTTTATATGCCACTAAGTAGATCAATTATACCGATCAGTTATGTCGATCTCAACGGATAGTTTGGAAGATTAGTCCAGTGTATGAGAATCGCAAAAAATGTTTGTCGATACTGACCTGGAAATAGAGTCGTTTGACAGAGTGCAAGTCATGCAGGAGCACATCGACCGCCTGATCCAACACACCCACAACTGTGCCCTGCATTGTGATTGGTCCATTGTCTCTCACGAAGAAGGCGAAGAACAGTTCTATGCTCCCCTCACCCACTCTCTTCGCCGCCAATTTGTTCACGTTGCAGTGGTGCGCTATCTCTTCCAACTTCTTTATCTGCAACGCAAGATTTGGATTGGCGAACAAATCCCCACAAACAAACCCCCTCCCGCCTCAAACACATGCACACATATCACACAATGCTTTTGACATGAATTGAAACATGCAACTCTAGTTTTGCAATTGCTGATTTGAGCCCTTACTTCGACATGCAACTTCGCGAATTTTGAATTTTTAGCTACATTTTGATACGAAAGTGAAGTCGGGGGCACTTCTACCCTTCCTAATAACTGTTATATAGATCAACTTTACGGTGTATGCAGCTAACAAGGTAGTATGAGCAGATGAAATTTTATAAGAATTGGGTACTAAACTTAAAAACCAACTGCCATGACAATTTGACAATAAACAAAAACTTAAGAGGCACAAACCGCTGGAAACGTTAAGTGAGCCAATTTTTCCAACACTGAGCTTCAAATCCGCTTGTGCAAAAGGCGAGAAAAAAATCTATAATAATTTCGTTTCAAGTATTTTACAGTTAGTACACTTGGCAGGACGTCAAAAGGCAGTAAGCCTGTCAAGAACGCCAAGAAAAAAGTATAACTAGCCATTTTTTTTGTGTAACGCACTTGGTTTTCTGAAAAAAAAAAGACAGAAATAAAAACGAGTCAAAAACCTTTTCAGGTGCGGTATTATTTGAATTTACCTGTTTTCAAACTTCACCAGAATAACTCATTTTTCACTAGAATAATTCACTTAAGATCATGTTGTCAAGATTTTAAAAAGCTTGATAAAAAACTACTTTTCAACAACAAAATCACTCAATAGAAATGCGGGATGTTATATACCTGTTTATCTGATCTCTCTTGGCTGAGTTGCTGGCAGTAAATGTTGAATTTGAAGTCTGGATCTTCCGCTTCAGTGAGTGAGCTGGATGAGAAGCTGGCATTGGACATAGTGTCCTCCCGGTCACTCTCTGCTCCCTCCCCCTGCCCCTGCCCCTCCGCACACAGCACTGCATACAGCTGTCTATGCACTATCACGTCAGGATACCTATGTTAGAGTAAGGTTTGGTATTCGGAATTATCTGGAGGATCTCGCATATTTGGATCAACTCTGATACAATATAATGTTAAAATCGAACCAAGTTTCCTTGAACATTTAAACTAGCACAAAATTTTAGTTATTTAAACTAGACGATTTTTTTTGCGCTGTAAAAAAAAACATTTTTTTTTAAAGTTGAGGGCTCACAAAAATGGCATACTTTTTTCTGCAACTTAAGGTATAAATTTTTTGCTATATAAACAAACGCAGGTGGTATCCATTCAGACCCATCCCTCTCTCCTCCCATTTTTGTAGGGGTCAATATTATTGGGGCGAAGTCTATGAAGAAGTCGATTTGTGCTGCAGGTATGTCCCGACAATGAAGTAGTGCAGATAATATATATGTCGAATAAATTAACTTCATCTGTGCTTTGATGTTAATATATTTTTACCAGTCAGAAGTTAAAAAAAAAACAAGAAACAATAATTCGGAATTCGGATTTTACCTTCTGATGGGAGATGTGAAGTGGGTGTAGCAGCCCACATTCAACGCGTAATGACTGTGAGATCTGCTGCCATGTGCTCCCATGCAGAAATACCTGTCAAGACAGAACCCCCAATCAAACACACATACTGACGCTTAACATTAAAAATTATTTAATTATCTGCTACTCTTGAACAACTCATTATACTCAGAGGCAACATTAAACCAGAGGGAAACATGATAATGAAATTCCGAGTTTTTCCAACCGTGGTGCTTAACTCCGAGTTCTCCTACTTACTTGGCCAGTTGCATCTTCTTGGAGAACTGTTCGACCAGGAACAGGTACCTGCCCTCGTCCTTGTCCTTGAGAGTGTCGTAGAGAAGGTCCAGACACTCGGCGATTCCGCCACTGCTCGATCCATCCGCCATCGCAACTTCAAACAGCTCGCATTCCTAGATACATATTACCTTGTAACAGCACACACCTTCCCAGCTCGCAATCATCTCCAAATTTACTTCCAAACATTTGGAAAATTGAGACAAGCAGTGCAGATTTATGAATTAAATTTGTGGAGCAGTGGTGAAGTAGTTACGTCTCCGCCTCTCAATCGAAAGGTCGGATGTTCGAGGCCCACCATGATCTGTGCTCGTTGCTTGAGGGCGAGGCAACATTACCCAGCCCAGAAAAATAATCAAAAAAAATGTTCTTACGCAGGGGCACAACAGCGGTTCTCCGTGACGAGCTGCACAGCTCGTATGTTTGTCCTTTCCATCGTGGATAAATGGTCTTAATACTTAATTTAAATTGAACACAATTTGCATTGCATTTATCGATATTGCATTTGTGTACTTTTGCAATATCAAAAAACATCGCGCATAATCATTTTCGTTCCGACCACTGATCCTAGAAAGAGACACAGACTTTGCTTTTTTGAACAAAACCAGAGACCCCAAGATCGTCGTAAGGGGATGGTTGATCTATCATATTGAAGTCTTTTCAGCCGTGATTCGAAAAAAAAGTTACGAGAATAATTCAAAATAAATTGTCAATAAAATTTTCTGATATGAAAATTTCGAAAAAAAAAAGATTGGTAAGCTCAATGCAAATACTTCCGGGTTAGGTTCCAATTCTCCTAATAGCGGAATTAGACGGTCAATTTTTCTAGTATTTGATTGTAGCGGGCACTTATTACCAAATCCAAGCAAAACCATCGATAACATTTAGTGCTACATGTTCAGTACTACATTTAGACAGTGTTGAGTACCTTCTCCAGTTTCTTGAGCATGTTCGGTTTCGGAGAGTCGTGTCGCCTCAAGAATCCGAACTCGGGCATCGAAGTGCATATCTTCTCGGCCACTGTGATGTTGGCTAGCAGCATGAACTCCTCTATGAGCGAGTGGCTCTCCATTCCCCTGTGGTGGAAGAAACTGCCCGGCTGTCCCGTCTGGGGGTCCAGAAGAAAACCCAATTTCTTCTAAAACATCAGCAACCATTTTCAGCCAACTTATTTGAGCCTTACGTCATTGCAATTCCCTCTAATAATCCTAAGAATAATCTGAAAGCTTTTTCCCCAAAATAAATCATTTTCAGGATTCTAAACCAAATGCTTATCAATTGTTAAATAACTGAAGACTGATAGCTGCTTTTGGTACCGTTGAAGCATAAAGTTTTTCTTTCGTTTAAGGCTGAAATTAAAGACAGAGAATTGGATGTCCCGTATCATTTGAAGCGTACAAGTCTCAGGCTGTCGAAAGCACCAAGGCTGATAGCGCGAGAAGCTACGGGAGCACTCAGTGTTACTCATCTTTAAAGTTTTGTATGAAAAGAATCATCGAAGGGCTGTTAAAACGGTGCCCGGAGAACAACGATAGTTACGCTAGTTTCTGAAGGCAGTTTTCGCCTCTGCTCGAAAAACTGATTGCCATGTTTTTACCAATCTCTATCACATTGTATAGGCTATCGATCGAACTGTGCAGTTTTGAGTGTTTTTAATGTATTGGTTGGTTGGAATAAACCGTAACGCGACAACTCGCACCAGAAGACAACTCTCAAAAAAACAGCGCATATAATTTAGAAATTAAGACAACTTGCAACCAACTCGAAAAAATCCCAGAATTACCCCTAAACTAAGACACGTAATCCCCCGCTTAGTAGTATGTCCTTTAAATTAATACTTGATTCAAAACAATTATTGCGGAGAGATATGAGTCTTTTTGTTCGTTTAACACAAAAAATTGAGTTCAAAACCTTCATTGCATTTATTGACTAATCGCTCGCAATAGAAAATATTTTCATTCTGATTTCTAAATATGTTTCTACTAGTATGAAAAATGTGTTTCGATTCAATACAAGTAAGCGCGAAAAGCGAATCTTGATCTTGGAAGATGAAAAACTAAATGAAGTTCGATTTACCGAAAAAAGCGGGATAACAAATTTGGGATATTCAAAACGAGTCACGATTAATTTAAGAAGAAAAATTAGATCCTTTACATTCAATTCAGTATTGCCTTATGCACGAGAAATTGAAAAGTAAGGTCTCTATAATTAGGTTTAAAAGCATGACCGTTAAACGTGCATAGCTGTTAAAAAACTTGCAGCATTTGGCACATTTCAATAAAACTCCGAACCGTTTGCAATGTCTGCGGAGTGCAAAATTTATTTGAAAAAAATTGAGTGTCATTCAAAAAGTAAAGGAGCGAGAACAAAACACTTAAGACATCTCCGATCTATCGATCAAAACGTAACGAGTACCGTTTCCGATGAGTGCTTTTTAACATTCCCGAACATACGTCAGTTACCAGAGCGATTCCACGCGAAAAATACTTTAAAATTCCACGCGAAAAATACTTTAAAATTGTGCCAAATATTATGGGAATCATCACAATTCCCATAGAACTTCAGACAACTCTAAAAGAGCAGAACTTTTTGGCCCATGACTCAGAACTGGGGGATTGTGACCGACATAAAAACCTCGATATTTTTAAAGACAAAAATTGAATTAAAATTCATCAATTTACAGTGGTAGTTAAATAATCCGGACACAACGAACAACATTTGAAAATTCAAACACCTCTTGCACAGCCCAACTTACATAGGCCTCTTACACAGCCCAACAAATTTTGTTGGGCTGTGTAAGAAGCTTTTTGTGATATAATTTTCTTATCAATTAACCTGGTGTTAGACGTGTAATTCTTGATTACGTAAAGAAGCCGAATTACCCAATTTTGGGGTAAGATTTTGGTAGCATTTTTGTTCATTTTTTGTAGGCGGAGGTTGTCAATTTTGCCTAATCTACCCAATTTTGCCTAATCTGCTGTTATAATCTACTGTTATAACGCACAAAAAAATTATGCAAATTTTAATGTGGTCAAAACTTAGTGCTCTTTTGCACAGCACCCAGCTACTCTTATTACCTTTTGTATTTTTAGCGCACCACTGTGGAATCTGGCCTTTTTCATGTTCTGTGCGAGTAGATGTAGTCTGATGATGGCCTCCTTCACCGCCTCAAAGTGCTCTGAGGGTACTGAGGGAACATCCTCACTCGTGCAGTCTGGTTCATCTATCATTTTCTAATCAGCCATAAATAAATAACTCCTTCACAATCGCAAACAAGTGAAGGATCCTACAGGGAACAGAAAAATTTACTGTAAGTTCTGCAAGTAATAATGTTTCCTAGCTGATTTCAACTACACATTTGATCGGCTCTTTCGAATTTATTAAGGTTCTAGTAATTATTTTTAATTCATTTGAAATACGTAGTTGCAAACTGTTAATGAAACTGTTAATGATTTCAAGAAAACTTGAAGCTCTCTCAGGTTCAAAAATAGTTTATGATTGATATTTTTTTGGTAGAAATTAAGCCATTTGAGGAACAGGATCGATTGGTATTTTTTTCATTCCGCTGGGAAAACCATTTTCCATTTTCGCGTCATATGCACTTTTTTGGGAAAGCAAATTTGCAGTCCATTTGTTAAATCAAAAGACAAACAGTAAAACAAATTATTTTGAGTGTGAACGACTTCGGGCTTTTCCTATAAAACCAAAAAAGAACAGTCACGACCTACATAAGTGCTTTCGCTTCATGCATAAAATTCTGCCTATTTCGTTTCAAACGAAAATTGGTGTTTTCCGCTTAAGTTCGATTTCTGGCGGCCTATGGTATGATACTACTAATTATTTGGATGAAGAGCGCATCCTGTTTTTTGAGGCCAAAAATTAGCAATTCGCATTACCAACCTGAGCATGATCGTAACTCATCTGACAACAAGACTTGATCACACTCTTTCCAATCCAGTGCTTGAGCACCTCTCCCTCTCTGTTCATCGTGAACACAATGGAAAACGCCAGTCGGGACTTATTCGGCTGTAGACTGCACACGTGTTCACACAATGCTCTCGGTAGCATGGGGATGACCCTGTTCGGCATGTAGGTACTGGTCGTCCGCATGCTCGCTTCGTCATCCAACGGGGTTCCTCGAAATGCAAGAAGCAAATGGTACATGATACAGCATTCTTACATCTCTTGGCCAATCCGACTGTTCGTTAAATCCATTTAATTACCTATGGAAAATTGGCGCTCTCCACCAGATACAAACTGAAAATCCAGGTTGCTTTATGGAATAATTGTGACTTTAAAAAATAGTGGATTATGTTCGGAATTTAATATCATGAGTTCGCATGCCAAGTTTCATTAAAATCGGATTCAAGCAAAAACCGAAATACAAAACATAAAAAATGACCAGGAGTTTAAGCAGGACACATACTTGAACAAGGATAGCCGGTTACTGTGCAAGTAACACAGAATGCTCCGATCATAGTCTTAAAATATACAAAAAAGGCGTTTTTTTCTAGAGCTCAAGCATATTCGACATTCATAATAAAATTTGATATACTTTTTTCGATAAATCAATTTGAGAAAACTGGAGCAAAAGATAAATTTTAATTCCGCTGGGAAATCTGAAAACTAAAATCCATTATTGAATTAGAACTCTATCACGCTTTTCGAGACTTGCAATTTTGCTGTTCGATTGAGGATCTTGTCTCACGTTTATCAAAGATGGCTTTAAATCATATTGGAGCTTGAATAATTTTTAAGATTTTTCTTGAAAAAAAAAACAAAAAAATCATCATCGCCTATATAAGAGTATTCACTACGTTCTTCGACTGTTCAAAAACCAACCGCATATTTTGATCAGCACATTCACCTTCTTTGACGAAGTGACTCACATCCGCAATGTGCACTCCCACTTCGTATACTCCACTCGCAACCTCCACACAATGCAAGGCGTCGTCTAGATCGCGGGCGGTGGGGGGATCGACGCTCACCACAGTCGTGGACTGGAAGTCTCGCCTCGTTTTCAAGTCGTATTCTGTCGGCTCCCACTCGGCTCCATCAGTGCAGCCCAGAATCTGAAACAAATTATTTCACTCATATTGTGCATGTGAGCATTTATCACACTCGCATTACAACCGAGCTTAACCAGCAAAGCAAGATTTCCAATACCAGCAGGCCACTCGACTGAATTTTAACTAAATTTTGCGTAAAAAAACACCGAATCCAAAGGTTCTTACAACTTTTCATTTCTAAAAAGTGTTCGGAAATTGAACAGCAGCATAAGACATATACTACGCAAAAACTTCGATTTTTGATCTATGTAGTTTTTGTGTTCACAATTATTAAAAGTGCTCTCTCCGTACCTGCTGGCAGGTTGCTTCGACACCTGGAGGGAACTGGCTGTCCCACGTGATTCCGTTTTCCACCAGAAGCACTTCCAGTTCATCCTCCAGGGCACTTGAGTTGCCACCTATCTTCTTCGTCAGAGATCTAAGCAAACATCTACTTGGGGGTAAGCCGTGATTGTGCTCACCTCTCCCAAAGAAATTCAAAAAAAAAACACAAACTTTCAGATGTTTAACTGTTGAATTAGTCTTTTAAAAGGGTGGAGTCCTTTACAAGATTAACATTAACATAAGATCCGGAATCCCTCAAAACCAAGGCTCAGAAATTTAATTAGCTTATGAGAATTCAGTACTTGAATTTTTAAAGGTTTTTTAATGGACGTCGATTGACCCACACTCGACGTCAGCTGAGCATTGATAGCAAAGAGTGTAGATAGATTGGCAAAGTACAATGTACATCAGCAACAAAACTGTAATCCTCTATAGAAAACCTCCGACACATGTAGTAGCAAGTAACATTTCTATATTTCCTGTTTTCGTACATACCATTCACACACTACCATTTGCATTCTATACCTCCTATTTTTATTTACATTTTGCTTTACCAGTTTAAAAAACATATTACCAGTCCATACAACACATTTATCGGATACTGAATAGTTTTTATTCGGAGAACGTTTAAAAATGGGATCACGTGGAAATTGGGAGAACTACGAACACGTGAAACTGGAGAACGGCACATTAGTTCTTCCAAATTCAAACGTCAACATTCGCTTCGCTGATATTCTGTACTCGAACGTCGACCAGCAATTAAGAAATATCATAGATTGCACCTTCTTCGATAAACCTAAACGGCAAATCAAAGATATAAAAATTCAATTCTTGTCTGAAGATACTGTGGAGAAATTACAAGATGTCATTCAGTCACAATCGCAAATATTGAACCGAAGAAGCAAAAACCGAGTATTTGTTTTCGTAAACCCAAGCAGCGGAAAAAAGAAAGGCGTCCAAGTTTTTCGAAACTCAGTTTTAACCCGTTTTACTAAAGCAGGTATTACAGTTGAACACCAAATTACCGACAAGGAAGGTCCAAATAGCTTGGCTTCAATTGCAAATCGACTGCAGTTAGATTCCTATGACGCTTTGGTGATTGTCGGCGGCGACAGCAGTTTACGTGATGTCATTAACAGCCTTTGGAACAAAGCCGGAAATCCGGAACCAAGTAAATTCAAACTACCTACATTTGGAATCATTCCAGTCGGAACCGGCAATGGACTTGCTTACGAATGGGACGGGGGTTACGATATCGAACCAGCAATCGCGTCGATTATTTTGGGTAAAATCAAAAAAACTCGGGTTTATCGAATTACATCTCCAAATAGTCAAGACCAAAAACACTTCGACATGCTCGGTATTGTTTGTCTAGGCTACGGGATCTCAGTTGACTCCATGAAATTGGCCCAAGAGAGTACCGCTACACCATTAGCCTATCGAATGCTTTCAAGTTTCGCATCAGCTGTTTACAGAAATAGCGAAACATTCCACATGAATGCAGAGCTTACTTTTTCAAACGGAACCCAAACGGTAACGATTTCGAAAAAACTGCGAGAAATGATACTCGGACTAACTGATTCCATGGTAAAGCGTTCAGATAACCCGGATATTGATACTTGGGCAAGTTTAGTACTTATCAGCGGAGAATGCAGCAAAATGAAGTGTTTGCAAGTTTTCGGTCAATTCATGACTAAAGTCTACTCGCAAAAAGAGACTCCATTTCCAGAAGGCGAAAGTCTAAATGGACTCGTCAATTTCTTCGGCAAAAATCTCAAAGTTATTAAAGTGGACATCCCAGAGGAACAAAACAGTCGCCAGAATAAGAATTTCATAAATGTCGACGGCAATGTTTTCCCATGTGAGGCTTCGTTTCATATTAAAGTTTTTCAAGATGTTCTGCCATGTTATGTTGGAATATAAACAAAATTTAAATTTTATTTGTTGCGTAAATTTTTTTTCCAAATACAGAAAAACAAAGCAGAAATTAGCATCACTTGCAACACCGAAAAAATACAACTAGCTTTACAGAAATCCAGAATCTGCCAGCAAAAACTCAATACTGATCGTAAGTTAACCAATCGGTCCGAAAGATCTAGATTTTAAAGACAATGCTTTATTAATACAGAGATGAAGCGTAACTTCGCATCACTTGCAATACAGAACGTATTCAGACTTTCAAAAAAAAATTACAGAAAACTAACAGGAATTAATTTTCAAATCCAGAAAAAAATGACTAGCTAAACATCAAAAGAAAATGATAACATAGGAAACTATTGAATTTACTGGGAAAGAAATGACAAAAAGATTGCAAATGTTGCAGTAAAAGAAAATAATAAATTCACAAAATCAACTCGCAAATAAACGGTTAAGAATCAAAATCTTACAGAATCCTAGTATTTGACAACCATTTAAATCATAACTTCTGTTTCCTAATCATCTTAAATATTGCAATTTCAATTGCCAATTACTAGATTAAGATAGCAAAAAAACTAGTAGTAAAAATTTAATTAATCTAGAATGTCCGGAGCTTATGCAACAAATCAGAAAAGTAGATATAGTTATTGAGCTTTTTGAACTTCAAGAACAATTTATGATTAGTTTTTGGATAAAAACAAATCAAATAGCTAACAATGTATCAATAGGTAATATTTTCATTCCACTGGAAAATCTAAAAGTTAAAATTTACTTTCAAAATTTTAAGCGCTATTTGCTATTTAGTAGTTGAAGAAAGCAACGTGCTCACCTTCAGCAAAAAAATCAAAAGTCAAACAGCAAAAGATCTCATTCACACGTAATCATGCGTTAAACAATTAAATTCAATAAGTTGAAATGAAAATTTAAATACAGAGGCGAAACTGAGCTTCGCACCTTTTGCAGTACAACTTTATCTATCAAAATGAATGAATACAATTGTAGAAAAACATGCTCAAACAATAGATTGTAAAATCAGCTTTGGAGCAAAATTAACCAGGCGGTAACAAAGCCAAAAATACCTGAGCAGAAACACTTCAAGCCGACATTTTTTTTCAATTCAAAACCAATGAAAATTTTTTACGTCCCTTTTCCCCTCAAATCAAACACAAGCGCACAAAAACTTTGTTTTGTGCATCAAACGACGCAAAAAAGGCTAATAATCCAATATAAACCAAGCAATCCAAAAAAAAATGAAACTTCAACAAACCGATTGGTAAACATACAACTAAAAAAGTCCTGAAGGGAGCGTAAAAATTGCGTTTTTCTTCAAACGACCCAAAATTAGGGACAATTTGGGCCGAATAAAGTTTTTAAGCGAAACAAAAGAGAAATAGTCCAAAATAATTTGGGCCGAATAAAGTTTTTAAGCGAAACAAAAGAGAAATACGAAGTCAAGGTGAAATTTACACAATTGCAGGAGTAAATCATACACTAAAAGCAATCTTGAAGAAAATTGCGCGCAAAAAAAAACAATTCCAAGATGTGGCAACTAAGCCGACAAAAGATAAGCAGACAAATAAATGCGCCGACAGTTTCAGAGAGTATTACTCGCTTGAAAAAAAAACAGGTCCTGGTCATATTCGAATCCAGGACCTTTGCCGTCCCAGGCATATTCGTTGCCTCTAGGCTAAGTCAGACGGGAACACGAAGAAATTTGAATTATTTAGTTTTTTTTAAAAAAAACATTAGAGATGAGTCCAAAAATCCAGATATTTATGGGAAAAAGTCTAGTACCAGATTACAATACCCTTGCTTATTGCAATGGTAATAAGAAATCTTTTGAAATTTTAATTTAAACTACTAAATAAAATGTTCATCGCATTCAGGAAATTTGAGGGAAAATTAGCACTAATTATGTCATCGGCATAATCATGCTTTCGTCGAAAATCTGTCGATTTAGTTTCCTTTCTCGAAGTTTTCATTGCTTTTCTTCTATATTTTACGATTTGAAAAAAAACCTAAGTAATTGCTCAGCGGAGCCGAGTCACGAATTTGAACACTTTGAAAAGGTAACTATGCCGAAAGATTTTCGACAAAAACAAGCGAGCCAAAAAAACTTTTACGGCTAAATACTTGACCTGGCACGGCGTCTGAACAAAAAATACGCCATGGGCTCTCGGGACAAATTATCACTCGAACAAAAACTTCACAGGATGAAATAAAGGCAGCATAAATATAAGATGACTGACCCTACTGCATAAATATCGTCCGACCTCCAGTTGACAACCCTGGCTGCAAACAACACATTCTCAAACTGTTTAGGGTCCGAGAGGAAATCCTTGGGACACTCCACTAGAGGTATCCTCAGTCGAGGCACTTTCGAATCCATGGGTGAGAACATTGCATTGTGGATGTTGACCCTAGGGAAGGGTCTCAGCTTACCGACACAGCGTCGTGAGTGGCACATCTCAAGAATCCTGACTACCTTCAAAGTATTAAATTTACTGAAGAGTTCATACATTCTGATAATTCATTTAAAACGCAAATATGTACACAGCATATTTGAAAATCAAATTGGATTAAAAAGTCCCGTTAAGTACAATACCCACTACATCAGTGGAGAATCCTGCTGGATTTTAAATTATTTTGTCTTGAAACTTCTTTACTAAGCGGTCTGACCATTTCATATTGGACTAGTTCATGAGTGTAAGTTAAGATAACTGACCTTCCCAGTTTTGACAATGAACTCGTCCAGTTGTATAGGGGACTCACCTCCTGCAAACTTTATCAAATCCATCATCTCGGTACACGTAATATTCATGGGCATGGTAACATCCATAGACTTCCCTTTTCTAGAATCTTTCTCGCTATTAATGGATATTTTTTCCAACTTAGAATCAATCTTTGCGGTTTCAGTGTAGTCTTTAGATGCTCTGCTTATCAATGGTATGTCTTTTTCAGACTGAGAATCATTCTCTTTATCATCCTTATTATCTCCAGTCGTCTTAAGTGATGCCAAAAGACAGTTTCTCTCTGAACCAGGGTTGCTTTTTCCTCGTTTTTGCGCGCTCGAAGTTCTGACCTTGTCACCTTCGGAGTTCTTCGTAGGAGTTGTTAGGCTGGAATCGGACTCTGAGGAACTTGTTGCTGTCTGAGGATCGTCAGGGTCTCCGTCCCATTCGAGAGGTGGCTTCGAGGGCGCTTTCATGTCGCGGTAGATCTTCTCAAATTCGGGATGCTTGGACAAGAGGCGTTGAAATTGCACCTAAAACAGCGAAGATTAAAATAGTTTTCAACTAATAGTTTTCAACTTAAATAGTTTTCAACCTAAAATTAGTGTCAAAACTTCAGTCTATATAGTACTTTCAGAAAGCTGGATTTGAGTTCCTTATCCGGAGATCCTTCTTTTCAATTCCACCCTTTTAAGCAATTTATTTGCCTCAATTAATACTTATGGCTTTAGCTTACGAGCCAGTTGGTCTTGTGGTTGATGATGTATGCTACAATGTCGTCATGGAAGGCTCTGTTCCTCGCTCGGATCCCATTTAGAAGGACATCATCACCACCTTCCTAGCATCAGATAAAAAGTGTATGCTTAGAATGTAACTGAAACAAGGGCAATGTGGAAGAAACTGGAGTCTTTGCAATAAAGATCAGCGGTTCGAAGCCCATTCAACGACTACCTCCGAAATATTGACTTTGAGGAAGCATTTTTTGTCCACAACAACCGCGAAAAAAAACCAATAGTTTTTAAAAATTGACAAGTGCTCTAAAATGAGCTTAAGTGAGTCAATAATGTTATTTTTTCATGGGTCAACTCGTTTTAGTCGATTCACTAAGACACTCAAGCAAAATAGTCTTGTTTAAACTGAATTCTTACCGGGTCATCGACAAAAGCCTCTTCAAAATTCTTCGCATTGATTCTCACAGTATCCTGAAATTTGATTAAAAAATATATTTACGCCCAGTGGCATTTAAATAAATTAAGTTTGCTGATTGAATTGCAACCTTGTACACGTCTCCATTTTCAATGCCTTTATTAACCACAGAGAAACTCCAGTACTCTTCGAAGACACTCTAAACAAAGCAAAAAATGATAGTTTTTTTCAATAAATGCATATAATCCAATGATTGTTCTTTCATTGCACCTTCTTCTGGTAATTTCTGTTGTTTCCTGGCTGAGTATTCGTAGTCCCCCTGGGATGGTGCATGTTACCTTGATTTCGTTCCCCACTCCGGCCATTATAATTCTGTTCAACTCTGGTCATACCAAACTGTAAATAAAATTTGATGTTCTATACATCAAATAAAAATTGATGTTCTATACATCAAATAAAAATTGATATTCTATACATCAATAAAATTTGATGTTCTATTCATTGAGTTTCAGCGTTTGTGAAAATGAGAAAAAAATCGAAAACACCACAACTAAAACTTAAGTCTTCAAGATTTTGTCTGGAAAAAACAAAGAAAAGATACGAAATCAAGGTTAAAAAAAATCACAGTTTGCGATTTTACAACTTTTTTGAAAAGACAATCTTTTTTGAGGAAACCATCAGTGCCTACAACGTTCTAACAAAGTTTTAAGTTTAAAATGCAAAATAACAACCAGCAGACAGGTGGAAAAGTGTTAATACCATCAATGAAACCAGAAAACGAAATTTTTCATCAATCAGGTTTTATCAAAAAAAAACTCGATCGCCTAAATTTCAACAAACTTTGCCCGAATTTGAGAAAACTCGATCAATAGGTTTTTTATTCCACCGAGAAATCTTAAATTTAGACAGAAGCGATGCGTAGCTCTGCACCTCTCGCGATGACACACAACCAAGCTAGCAGACAACAAATGAAACGCAACACACCAGCCAAAAAAAAATTGAAAGTCGAAAAAACCACAATTACAAAAGTTTCAAACAGAGGCGAATCGGAGCTTCGCATCACTTACGCTACGATACCTTAGAAAAATATCATTGCAAGCAAAAAAATGGGAAAAAATTGAAAACACCACAACTAAAACTTAAGTCTTCAAGATTTTGTCTGGAAAAAACAAAGAAAAGATACGAAATCAAGGTTAAAAAAAATTCCAACAGCAGAAGTAAATTAACGCTGAAAGCACATACCATGTATAACGCGTACAGCAAAAAAAAATCTACGATGTGGCAACTAAGCCAACAAACCATAAGCAGACAAACAATAGGGCGACATTTTTTTGAAACTGATATTTCTCGTTTGAAAAAAAAACAGGTCCTGCCAGCTTCGAACCCAGGACCTTTGCCTTCCCAGATGTATTCTTTACCTCCAGACCAAGTGTGCCGGAAAAGCAAAAAAAATGAAACCATTATGAATTGAACCTCCAGACCACGTGTGCCGAAGACTCAAAAAAATTGAAATCATTTTGAGCTGAACTTAAACTTAACATTTCTAATTTGATCATTCTGTCAGCTAAAATGTTTAAACGTAAAAAGTCTAAAACTTGATTGCAATACCCTCGCTGATCTCAAGGGTAATAATTGGTCTCAAATGATGTTGAATTTGAGAAAAAACAACCAGCAAAACAGACGCCGTCATAAAATCAGTTTTCAGAAATATTTATCGAATATAGAAAAAAATCCAAAAACATTTTCCAATACAATGAAAGATACTTAAGGCACAAAACACTCCGTAATTCTGCATCTAAGCGGACAAAACACAAACAGGCAAATAACAGACCCACTATTTTTTGAAACAAATTTTTTTCAGTTTAAAAAAATCAGGTCATGGTTGGATTCGAACCTTGGACCCTTCTCATTCTAGGCGTAGCCGTTACATCTAGGAGAAGTGTCCTGGAAAAGCTGAGAATATCGATTTTTTAAACTGATACCTTTTATCAAATAAATCAATTGTTTGTTACTGTCAGTTGTCAAACTAAAAAAAGCCTCTACTCTTTGATTTGTAGAAAATGATTTGATTACGGTTGTTAATCGCACGTATAAAGAGATTACTTGCAAAAAAATACAAGTTCAGTAGCTAAGTACCGAACCGCAAAAGTAAAAAGAGCGAAAACTAGATTTTCCCACACCACACTCCACGCCGAAACTTTTTTATTTCTCCATATTACTGGATCATTTAAGACTCGCGTATTTTCACTTCACTATTTGAAAGGTTTGTAGTTTAATTAGTGTTCTGCTGAAACGCACAACGCGCATTCCTCAAGTATTCAACTATCATGGATCAATGGTTGCAGTGGCTCATGTCACATTACACACCACTCGAATAAAAAAAAACGTTATCAAAAACACGACTTATCATCAAATTGATAACTAAATTTAAAATATTCAGAAAAAATTTACATTCGTTGTGGACTTTTTTGGCAGCAAACTGGCGTTTATATCATGCAAAGCTGCGTTTAAAAAATAAGCAAAAAGACAGCAAAATAATGTAAAAGACAAGAAAATACGAAGAAAAACTTCAAGGTCACCAGAAGGGTTGGAATGTAACTTCTTGTTTTTTTTCCACACCCTTTTGCTTTTGTTCATGAAATACAGCTTTGCATGGTAAAAGTGCCAATTTTCTGCCAAAAAAGTCCATAACCATATATTAAGCTTAAATAAGCGTATGCTATTGTAAGCATATACGGTCACCTTACTCGCTCGAAATTAGACCAAAAATCAGAAATTTCAAACCTGTTTTTCTCAACGCTGTGAAAAAATTTCAATTTACTTAAGTCATTCAAAACACGACTGAAAGGGCTTTAATATCATATATCACTCAACCTAGTCCCATCATTATTTGTGATACCTGATTTTAGGTGGAAAAAAACTGAAACACACACCCGAATACAAAATTATTGAAAAATCAGTTGACAGTTTGTAAAATTATTTAAAAAATCCATTAACAGTTTGTCTAATACCTCCTGTTTAAAATGTTTTTTTTTGGCTGAGATCAAATTAACAATGAAACCAACAAATCCAAGGATGCTTTCGGAGATATGTGTTTGGTAATGAATGGTTCATTTCTGTGGACTAAAACTGAGAGTGTAAAACTAATCTCACAGCTGCTAATATTGGTGATGACGGCGTACGCCCAGTGGCATTCAACTTATTATTAACAAAGTCAAAGTCAACTTTTCGAAAAACAGTCTAACCATTTCCGGAGCTGAAATTTACCTGCGAATTTAATTAGCAAACCAAAAGACATTTGAGTTAAAACTTTAACAGTCAGATTATGAATTCGCTTTGATGCCACTTTTTCAGTTTTTGTGTTTTCGGTTCAGAAAACGAACAGCAAAATTTTTTTTTGCAAAACGCTAGTTTCTCAAACGTTTTTCCACTGAAAGAAAAAAAGAAACCGAAATGCCTCATTTAGATTTGAACGTGCTGTTGTATTATATAAAACTAAGTTTTTTGCGTATCGCTAAAAGACTCAATTAGTCCTCTCAAAAGTATTGAGGCAAATCCTCGTCAGTTTCATAACCTACAAAAACTATTATCCCATGAACAATTTTTGGAACCTGAAAGTCCGTCCAACACAATTAAAATTTGTTTGAAAAATTTCAGAAGCGTGCAAAACAAATATCAAGAAAATTTCAATTTTTTGGGCAACCTTTCGTTGAACAAGATATTTTTAGCAAAGAAAACATGGCTCAAGATGGACAGGTTTGAAAAGGCTGGGGTTGTTAGAACTTGGACTGCATATCATTCAAAATTAAGATTTGTAAAGATCTCAAGAGTGCTGTCAGAAACTTTTTTGAGTCATCATGAGTTAAAATTGAGTCATCATGCATGAAAATATCTCTCTCCGTATTTCAAGTTCACAACTTAATTGGTGAAATTTCTCAAGCGTTTGCTATAAAAATGGACGTTTTTACACAGAGGTGAAGCGGAGCTTCACGCCACTTGCCATACATCAAATCATAAAAAACGAAGAAAAAAAACTGTTCGAAAAAACTAAGTCAACCAAAATTTTTGTATGACCCGATGAGATTGATAAAAGTAAAAACTTAGCTATTTCAATGTATGGAAACACACTGTTTGTGAGGCAGCGAACAGTGAATACAAAATAATGACAAATTTGGTCAGCCGGTGAAAAAAAAAGGTAATCAAAAATCAGTAATATTTAGCGAAATAGATTTGGAAAATGGCAAAACAAACAAATGATCTACCTGAAGCAGCAAATCATTTCAATCAAGTTTTTTCAAAATAAGGTTTTTTTAATGGTGAGCAGAAACCAAGAAAACGAATAGAAAAATTTACAGCTGCAATGTTTCAATAAATTTACAGCTGCCGAATTTCAATAAAAAAGAAATTAACAACGAATCAGATAAATTAACTTTAAATTAATTTCCAAGGCATAAGGGAAAACAAACTTTCTGCCTCCAACAAGGCAAACTTGCTATCAAACGCACATACAAATTGCAATAAATGAAATTTTAAAGCAGAACCAGACTCCATTATTCTTTAAACAGGCATGTATAATACCTGTCTTCAAAAAAGTAAGCATCAAACTATCAAACTTGCATCAAACTATTGACCAATTTGTGTGACAAAAACGCTATCAAAAGTTATCGAAAGCTTGACTGTATGTAAAGTATTTTTTTTAAATCAGCAGAACAATGAATTTACTGTTCGCTGATGATAGACGCATTTTTGGTACAGGTACCTGGATAACGGAGGTACCTTCGTTATGTTCGCTGATGATACACGGATTTTTGGTACCGCAGTTTGCTGGTGATACACGCATTTTTGGTACAGGAAACTCGACAACGGACCTAAAAGCATCATTGCTAGAAAGGCAAGAAAAAAAGCGATACAAAAATTGAATAAAAATAAGCTGGCCCTAATGGTTATAAGACAAAACTTATTGTTTTAAGGTAAGAGAAAAGTTTCGACAATTTATATTTTAAAGAAACAATTTCCGCAAAAAAGCAGGTATCTTTGGAGTGTAAGTGGAAAAAAATCGTATTTTTTTCAGCTGAACTGAATAAATGTTGAAGCAGAATGGCTGTTGCAACTTTTATCTTTTAATTCAAAACTTTTTTTCTTCAAATTCTACCCAATTCTCGAAGAAACAGATTAAACAGGCAAAATAAATGGGGAATCAAAGTGAGCTATTTTCGTGGGAAAAAATGATTATGCATGAGATCTACCTCTCAAATCTTTTGTTTCACCAGCCGAACTAATCATTACCCAGCATATCCTGACAAGAATCTTGAGACAAACGAAATTGGTAGACAGTGCATCTGTTGCAGAGTAACTAAGAAAATTAAAAAACGGTTAAAACAAAACAGAATCCTGAAAA